CCCCCCCCCATTTATGTTCGTGTGCTTCGCAAGGTACCCATGAAGCATGTCGATAAAGCAAAGGTAGGAGGGAAAAAGTCATGAAATAAATAATTGTTTAAATATTAAAGGAAAAATTGCATAATTGGAAAACATGTCAAAATGTCGATATATCGGCTGTCGATATAATATAAGTGGATTATTTATACTGTATTTTGTATGCTGACGTCATATAGACCCGCCATATAAATAGTACAAGTCTTTGGCTGAAGTTGAATTCTATCAAGACTTGTACTGATTAAACGTAGACCATGCGCTGTAAATGGTGAAGCATCATAGAATAGGCCGACCTTCCATAGGCATAGGAAGGCATACCGTACGGCACACGGCTCACGATGTTGGTACACGACGACGTGCGACATGTCTTGACCCCCCTCACCCAGAGACGCGCCACGCGACAAGTCGGGACGGCGTTCTCAGTCACACTTCCTTTCGTCATCATGGATTCTTCTGATGAAGATAATTAATTGATTGCGCTAGCTTTGCTAATAAATATAAAGGTGACCTTATTTAGGCCACATATGGCCTATTAAGCTAAACCCTCCTTTGGCGCTCATATGACCTTATTCAGTTGCGAGCGCCGTAAAACCTCTACTAAAACAAACTCCCTTCCTTATCTTATTTAGGCCACATAAATGGCCAATAAGCTAACCCCCCCCCCCCCCCCCACACACACACACACATATGGCCTATATAATAAGCTAGCCCCATACCTGACTTTATTTAGGACACGTATACAAAAAAATCTTCTCATCCATCTTCCTTCATAGCAGGACATGCAATGAATCTAGAGTCAATTAAAGGTCCTTTTCTTTATCTCTATAAAATCTGCAGTTAAAAACCTGCGCCGTTCGGACACGTCTGAATTAACCTACTGAATTTATTAATACAGTGGAATCCTGTTATAACGAGAGGGAGGGGACCGGAGCAAAATGTCCGTAATAGCAGGATTTTCGCTATAATATAAGGGATCCAGTAATAAATTCAAGGGAAACTGTAAAATAGGCCTAATCTATGAGTTTGGTGTTCTGTTTATTTCCTTTTGCTATCTCCCCTGATGATAATTTTGTTTCATCATGACCTCTAGGTCTTACTTGATCAAAAATCGAATCATGTTTCTTTCTCTAGCGCTAGATCTAGCGATGTTGACAGCTCGGCGTTGCAGATCAGAAAGAAAGGGCTCTGGGCTAACTCACCCGCAGTGTTGTCCCCCACCCCATCACACCCTGTGGTGCATTCCGTCAGCTTGCGCACGTCACTCATTCGCTCCATCCATTACATTGCTGTGACCTCTCCACCCCCGCATAGGAGAAGTGAGAGGCATGGTAGGCCTTGAAGTTGATAATCTAAACTAGGCTTACTGGCCTATCAAGCGATGCGTTCTGCTTGTCTGCGCATGCCACACCCTCCCTACTCAGTCGCTCCGGCCTTCATTGCTGACACACATGGGCTCTCCCATTCTTTGTTTCGCTAGATCACCAACAAGTTTCTCAACTGGCGAGGTTTTACATGATGTATAATTGGCCTATGCGCTGTACACAGCAGCAGCTATATTCCGCTATAACCGACTCGCGTGTTTGTTTGATTGCGCTATAGCAGTATTTTATTTACAAAGGTAAAGAAGAGAAAAAACGGGGTTTTAGAATAGTGTCTTTATAACAGACTCCTCGTTTTTTCCGGACTCGTTATAAGTGGAGTCCACTGTAAATGTGTACCGTATTTTCTTTGAAAGTGGATAGGTGGACCTCGGGGTGTAGCCTAACATCGTCATGTGTTAGGGCAAGGCAAGGTAGATAAAGGGGGAAAAAACCATGGTGGGCAGACGCGGTTCGACATTATTCCAGTTATACTTCTACCAAGGGCTGCGAGTATAGTGCACTCGTGTCGTTTACGGCGAGCGGCTGCACGGGTCTTGAAAGCGGGTATAGTGAACCCGTGCGGAAGTCTGCTGCAACACACAACATGGCGCTTATCAAGAAGCAGAAACTGGTAGATCTATGTACTGTGGTGGTGGTGGTGGGGGAAAAGAAAAAGCGCTTTGCACAGAACACGTTGCTGTTCCGTTCTTCCCATCAAGAAACTTCGACACACCCATGGGGCGTATCATCATCTTATGCCCCAGCTGTGGAGTGATGAAGTCAAATTCATAGAATATCCCAGGATGACGTCTGACACATTCCGTGAGCTTCTTGCATTCTGTGGTGATAAGCTTCATACAGGCCCTATTATAAATTCGACGAATTTCTGCCCAGCAATTTTAGCAGAAAAACGCCTCGTCGTGTGTTTCAGGCAATACTTGCAGCTAACCAAACAATGACTGTCACCCGACCAGGTTAATGGTTTCAAAGCAGAAAATGATTTTTTTTTTTTTATTACAGTGCACAAACATGAAAATTGTTTTTTAGTTGAACACAATGGGTTAAAACAGAAAATTATATTTTTATTTTTATTTACCTTCTATACAGAACACAAACATGGAAATCTTGTTTTTATATATATATCAAACACAGCAAACGTTGAAGTGGGAAAGTATTGTAATCGGTAATTCCCAATAAGGGAGGAAAAATGTGTTTCTTTATTAACTACTGACAACTGCACTACAACTGTTTTTCTAAACAATAACGTCGTTCATAGTTGTCATTCGTGGATATGGCTGGGGGCTGAAGTACTGATCCTGCGTATAGTAAGTGTTCTGCGAGTCCTGTGTCAAACGGAACATTGCTGCAGCATCTCCGGCAGATGTAGGCTACTTGCTTGTGGGGAAGTAACAACCCTCTCTTGAGAGGATGCAATGGAAGACACTCTGTTCACTTTGGCTTTTACATGGGACAAAACAAGGCGCTGGATCTCAGATCGAAGTTCCAGGGTCTCTGCTGTATCCAAAGTTTTCATAGCCGGAAGCAAGCTTTTAAAGAACATGTCGTTATCGTCTACTTATTTTTCTGGCGTTGATAGTGCCTGCAGCACCTCCCTGTCGACGGCAGACAAACTACTTTTTTACGAGAACAGCAAGCTTGGTTCCTGGGTGCTGGTTTTGGAGCAGAATGAGTGGTCTCATTGCACAGATAACCGACTGTTACTGCAAGTGATTTCATCATCTGATGGTGCAGACCTGTTTTCGTCCGCATCCATGATTTGACTTAAATTGCCGCTTGTAGCACCATATGAGCACGATGGTATAAAAAAGGTCAGGAAATCATAAAGATAGCATTTTCATTTTTTGGTTTGCAGCTTGACTATATTGTGTTGTCGTCAGTTCCTTATTTATATTATTAAGCTTTCTTCGGAAATGGTCACGCAAAGATGCCCATCTGCTCCTGCACGCCGCTGAGCTCACTGGAATAATGAGAAAAAGCAGAATCTGTTAATAAACTGTTATCACAAATTTTAATACATGTATAGCTTCTGTGTTTTTTTTAGTTTGTCTGCCTGTCTGTGTATCAGTGTCTATGTCTGTGTGTGTGTCATACACACACACACACACACACACACACACACACACACACACACACACACACACACACACACACACACACACACACACACACACACACATGTGCGCACTTACACACATACTGGTGTACACACATACTGGCGTAAACATTAAATTAATTTGCTAATTTGTTCAATGGCTTGCACTTTCTTTTGGTGTTTTTTTTTTCAGATTCATTACAACTGGAGAATCATTCAGATCTTTGGCATTCCTTTTTCATCTTGGCTATTCAACGGTCTGGACGATTATCAAGAGAGCTGTCAGGGTCCTTTTCATCAAACTGCAACCACTGTACATGCCTGTTCCAGATGAAAACACATGGATAAAGACAGTTGAACAATTTTGTCTAAAATGGAACTTTCCCTTGTGTATCGGAGCTATTGACGGAAAATATGTGTACTTGAATGTTCCTCATCATTCTGGTTCGCAATATTAAAATCATAAGGGTCTCAATTCCATTGTTTTGATGGGAATTGTAGAGATGCATTTTGAAAGTTTCTTACCATAGGTGGTTTTGGAAGTTCAAGTGATGGGGGCATCTTTCAAGCGTCTTCATTTTTCAAACTGTTGCAAACAAACTTCATCTTTCGGAACCAGTCACAATACCCAAAACTACGGACATTAAGCTACCATACATGTTTGTTGGGGATTAGGCACTCGGAATTATGCCTAACTTGATGAGACCATTCCCAAGACGATACTTAAACAATGAGAAACGAGTCTTCAACTCTACAGACTCTCGAGGGCACGAAGACAAGTGGAATGCAGTTTTAGTGTCGTTTCAAGCATGTGGCACATCATGAGAAAAACTATGGAAGTGGCGCCAAGTTTTGCTACTGACATTGTAAAAGCAGTTTGTGTTTTACACAACTTCATCCAAGACAAGGAACCAAGACGAATGAATTGCATACGTCAAAACATCAGTGACACCCAACAGCCATGGGAGAGGCTTCAATCTCACAGACGTCGAGCACACAGTGAAGCAGCAGCAGTGCGAAATGCCTTGATGGCATACTTCACGTCTCCGGGAGGAAGTCTGCCATGGCAGAATGACTTGCATACGAATGCCTAATAACTGAACTGTGGACATTGACCGTTCAGTCAAAGAAAGCTGATGAGAGAAAATAACTAAAAGGGGCGATTGGGATGACACATAATCACTGATGCCTCACCTGGAGAGAGAGAGAGAGAGAGAGAGAGAGAGAGAGAGAGAGAGAGAGAGAGAGAGAGAGAGAGAGAGAGAGATATCAGACAATGTATTTGCACATGTCATTTGATTACTTACCATTGTTTCCAACTTCTCATGCAATGTTCTCCCATGCCCATCTCTGTTTGAGTGGCTCTTGTCACTCTCTTTGTAAATGAATTCTCGAGCTCTCACTGCTGCTATTAGTTTTTCGTGTTCCATGTTGAATAGCCGGAAGTAACTCCAGCAAAACGTTTGGAACGAGTTCTGCCCCTTCACCCGTGTTGCCGTGAAATGTGCGGTTTGCACAAACGTCAGAAACACGGGTCTGATTTTATGGGTCGAATTGGGTGCAGTTTCTACCGTCTCTAGTAGGCCAAGATAAGGATTGGCCAAGACCGAGCAGTTCTTATTTATCGTTCGACAGGCGGCCATGTACGACACTGATGTACTATTGTCGCAGCTTAAATCGTCCTCTTAAGGGGAGGAACGACCCTTGATTTTGCAGATTTTGGGTCAGGCTGTGCACATTTTATGTTGGCTGATTTTTTTTAGATCAACCAGTTTTTTGTCTAAAAATAGCATGGATACAATTGAGAAAGACTTTATTCTTCAGGTAAATTGCCTTTAAAAACATGAGGATGGATTAATATAGTGAATTTTCACAATTATTGTGGGTTTTCGCAAAATGCAATTTTTTCGCAGTTTTTTCCCTACTCCTTCCTTAGTTTTCATCCTTTTGACATGAAACTTTAAAGAAACACTGCCATCAATGTAACAGAGAGATATTTGCGGAAAAAAATAATGCTTTTCCATTGGCAAGTGATTATGCAACCTACATTTAGAAGAAAAAAAATTTATACTTTGGAAAATTCTCTTTTTTTTTTCTTTTGCACTTATTGAAAAAAACTTGCTGTTACTCTGATTGGGTCTGGTTCAGGTATACTTTCACCAAATTTGGTCAAATTTGTTCTGTAAATAAGAAAGCCTTAGGGATTTGAAATTCATTGTTATTTTCAAGATGGCGGCTGTTTCCATAGCAACCGCTGTGGCTATGCCAAAATAAAATTGTGTATCAAGAGATTTTACTATGTCTAACTTATATGTGTACTTAGATTCGATCTCGGGCAACAAACATAGAAAATGGTCCTCAAGGGTAGCTCCTCCCGTTAAAATAATTATTTTTTATAACTTTTTTTGGATAAAAAAGTTTGTTTTATTTTATTTATTTTTTTTGTGGTTAATGGTCCCGGCATACATGTATTTGACCGAATCTAGGGTAACACTGCCACCTGGCAACACTACATTTTAATGTCTTTGTACATGTATTTTGAGGATTTGAGGTGATAGATTCGAATGGCATGGTTATGCTGATAGGTTAGTCCTAATATCCACATAGATCATACATACAGCATTTTGTTTGTTTGTTTTTTAAGTAGATTTCTAGAACTAATCATGGGTTTGTAAGATCGAGATTCTACGGATCTTTTATTTATTGAGGGAGTTATATCAAAACAGAGGAGTGATTCTGAATGAAGAGTGGACAAAGGGTAGGAGTTGTGTGCGCGGTGTGTGTGTCTGTGTGTGTGTGTGTGTGTGTGTGTGTGTGTGTGTGTGTGTGTGAGAGAGAGAGAGAGAGTGTGTGTGTGTGTGTGTCAGTGTGCGTGTGGTTGTGGTGAATGAGAGAGGGGGGGGAGAGTACATTGTCATGTAATTGTGTGTGTGTGAGTGTGTGTAAGTGCGTAGATGCTATGTATGTGTGCGTGAGTGTCTATCTGAGTTGTTAGGTCCAAAATGTTCATCAATTTGTTGGGAGTTCTACATACAACGCACACAACTACAAAACACCTCTTTGAGAGTGACATAAATATTTTTTTGGGTACTTATAGAGGTACAGGATGATTTTAAAAATCACCCGCAAGGATAACCCAACAAAATGGGCAATATCTTTACTGCTAATGATCATATTTAGACAAATCCTACCTCATTCTCTTTGTTTTTCTTATCTGGTCATAATTAATAAAGAGTAAGCGAAATAGGCAGTAATTTCTTAATTTTATGGGCGTTCTTAAAATTTTAAAACTTGTTTTAATTCCTTAAAAAAACAATGACCATAAGTCAGCTCCCGGTTCTTCTTTTCAAAGTATTGTGTTCATACATTTGTGTGAAACTATATTTTATGCTTTCATGTTCATAAAAAAAAGCTTATAAAGTCAAGCAAAATGTTCTTCAGAGACATAGTAGTAGGCCCACAGGAACATTTAATAAACGGCGTGAAGAGGACCAAGGTGAGGTCGTTGGCGTCTAAGGCCTACATGTCGCAATCGTCGGTTTACTGTGTGTCGACTTCTGGCTCTTTTGTGGGTACCCCTTATCAAATCGGACGTTCTTGTGGCTGTCTGGTGTCGATTTGCACGATGTTTCCGAACAATTTGTCTGTCTGCACGAGCATCGGTCAATCTGGGTCAACCTGATCTTTGTCAGTCCGAGCTGACAAAGGGTTTTCAATCTGTGAATAGTCGAGACGTGAACGCCAAAGATTGGCGACCACTAATTGGCCTTCCTCCATCCTCCAAACGGCCAATTGCTCTTTCTTACTTCATTTGGTATCGTCGTTGTTACTACAGGCTAAAAGACCGAACTGATTTTTTTTTTACCACGGTTGTTATAGCCAAGCTCAGCTGAGAACTTTTCACCCTTTTCTCACTTATTAAGAGCCAAGGTCCACACACTCCTCTTTCGTACGCTTACGTACTCACAAAGTGCGTATGGAAGAGTTCAACTTTTTATTTATATTTTATTACCATGGCCCACTGCGGACGACACACTTCCTCACGTTTACGTGAAAAACGTATGACGTCTAGCATGTCAAACATTTTCTGTACGTGCTGTGGCTTCACCGACACTGATTGGTTACCTTTTTTACTTTTAAAATTAAATTAATGCCACTTGATCTCAGTATTCTCAGTCTCCAAACTGTGATTTTTAATTATTTTGTTTTTATTTCTTATGTTGATTTAAGAATAGTCAATAAGTTTACATCATTGTTGATGTTTGAATTTGTCATTTTGAATTTCAATAGGCTGACACCGTTCTAACAGTTTCCAGGATAAATTACCAATATTATTCATCAAACAGAACATTTTTGTTAATGTTATCAGCGTTTTACTAACATCTGCGTTTGTCGCGGCCGCGACCCACGAATCGTGGCCGCATTTTTGCATTTTCCAAAAAAAAAAAAAAAAAACCCACAAAAAAAACCCCCAAAAAACCCAACCGCCGGGGAATAAAAAATCTTAAAAGAACAAAACGTGGTAGAAAAAAAAAGAAAGAAAAAAGAAGCCGAACCTCTTTATTTTCACCTCCGCTTCCCTTCGTCTCTTCCTCACTTGTTGACTCTACGTTGATTTGTTATTTTCATATGAAGAATATACATTACAGTTAATTACACACTATTTATATTGCTGTTTCTCTTTTGTTTTTCTCTCTTTGTTGTGTTTTGATTTAGCTAGTGTTTTAATTTTTTTTTTTATAGTTCTGGTGTGTCTTCTTTTTGCGTTTATATATAGCGTAATGTCATTTAATTTGAAGTTGTTCCCACCTTTCTTTTAAAAAAATTAATAAGTGTGTTGTTATGTTGGAGCATGTCTCCACCAAAACCGAATACATGTACTGACGCTGGCAGGCCCCTTGTGCATGATTACATCATTTACAAGATTAAATACCCTGAGCTTTTTCTTGAATTACACACATTTAGGGTTGAAAGGGCCAATCTTCAGTTAGGTGGACGCACGCCCTTTTTTGTTAATTTTTGTGGTTGTTTATGTGCTATTCTAATTTTGATATCTTTCTGTTGTGAAACCTATATTCTCCACGTTTTAACACTCTGTGTGGCTACAAATGATATTCAGGATAGTTAAACCAGAGCACACAAAAATTCTGAGGGTTTAGATTAAGTTACCTCTATTGATATATACGTCCTCACAGAGAGTTGAACGCTTGAAAATTATTGGCAACTTTCATGGCAACTTTTGCCATATTTTGTGGCAACTTTTGGACACAAAAATGGCAACAAACGCAGATGCTAGGTTTTAGGTGTCTGTTGATTTTTGAAGAAAAAATAGTAATTTTTTTATTGGTTACCTTTTAGAAGAAAGTTAATTGTCTTTTGTTTGCAAACTTTTACTTTTAAGATTAAATTAATGCCACTTGACTTTGAACTCAGTATTCTGATTCTCAGTCTCCAAACTGTGATATTTTTTTTTTCTTCGTTTGACATGCTGATTTAAGAATAGTCAATAAAGTTTATATCATTGTTAATTATTGAATTTGCTATTCTGAATTTCAATAGGCTATACGTCATATTGTTATTTGTTTATTTCTGCTCCCTTTTTTCAAAGTAAACAATTGTGCCTGAAAAGAACACGCTCTTTTGGGGGGCACAGAGTGGGCTCTTACTTAAATGACGGATACGGTAGAATTCTTCAGAGACATAGTAGTAGGCCCACTGGAACATTTAATTAACGGCGTGAAGAGGACCGTGGTAAGGTCGTTGGCCGTTGGCGTCTAAGGCCTGCATAGAAAACTAATACATGTATCCCATTTGCGGCACTACATATAAACAATAGGGTACTATACTCATGCAGATCACCCAGGCGAGACTATGTGATTTCTCAGTGCACAGCTCCATGTAAACTCACAACAAACTCTCTCTCTCTCTCTCTCTCTCTCTCTCTCTCTCTCTCTCTCTCTCTCTCTGTGTGTGTGTGTGTGAGTGTGTGTGTGTCACTGGGGGAAAGTGTGTCGTAAACGTTCACCCCATTGCCAAGGCTAGGAGAGCGCGTGAGCCCTCAGTACAGTGTTATTTTTTTCCAGTCTTCTACCTTTTTACAAGAAAATTTTCATTACGGAAGCGGCGTGCGAATGGGCTCATCCTTTGCAGGATTGGCTGTTAGATTACTATAGTTTAAGCGGTGACAACAGTGATTGGATAAACGAGCAAGCCGCCAAGCTGATCACTTTGTGTTCATTGCGTGCGATCATAACAGTTTCAACTGCTTATTTTGTTCGTTAAGAAACTTTCATTTACTTTGGGATAGAATTGAGGGGGGGCTCAAGCCCGTGCTGAACAGTATCTTCTACTCTGCACATCCCACAGTGTTCGAACTTGTCGATGGCCTGCAGGACGTCATTTTCCAGAGCGAGTTCAAGATGAACACGGTGCGTGACACGACGAGACGCGAGACAGCATCAGAAAGAAAGAAGACAGCATGGATAGAACAAACAAAGAAACAGTTTGATGATGGAACCATAATCGGAAAGTTGATCTCCAATGCATTTGCTACACTGGACTGCCTGCAACGTCTCTAAACGCCACGTAAATATGTCTAAATATAAGATTTTTACCAAGTTATACAACCTTCATTAAAACATTTCTAATGCGGCCTCATTTTCAAATGAGTCAGTCCCAAGCCTGTAACGCAGAGGGGAAATGTTTCAAAGTAGGACATATTCGATAGCGAATATTGAATCTATAAATCATATTGCAGTGCCGCAAATGTCCTATCATCATTTTGAATAAAACGAGTGGTGCCACAAATGTCCTATGAAGAAAATAATGTAAAATATCACTAGTGCCACAAATGTCCTATGAAGAAAATAATGTACAATATCACTAGTGCCACAAATGTACTATTTTAAAACTGTAGTGCCGCAAATGGAAAGCTCTCGGTGTGACGAGTGGATATTGAATAGGAACCTTTTATAACTCTTTTTGCTTCTTTTTAGCACTCTGTCTCGTAACCATCAAGCAGAGAGTGTATCTGTATTTATCTCAATGATTTTAGATATAACGTGCTCCAATGTTACTACGTTTGAGAAAAATGAGACGAAAATCCACTATCTGTATGGTTTGTTGGGGGTTTTGGGGTATTTTTTTTATCACCCGTCATTCAAATGGCTCTGCCAAGCTTTGAATAGCTGTGAATAGCGCAAAAACCATGAATGTTGAATAGTGAAGTCGAATGGGCACAGCTCTTGTTGTCACTGATTCGCATTTCTTTTGCTGGCTAGTATATATTATATTAGCTAGAATGTATGAAGTCCACTAAAGCACATTTCATTTGAAATGTAGAGTTCAATGAAATGATTAAATTATTTCTGTGACCAAATCATGAGCACACCAAATACGTCTTCTAATTTATTTTTTCCGCATGGTGGTGGGTCAGACGAACCGACCCCGCGAGCCAGATTTGTCCGTTGGCTGTTGCTGATGACCCTGAGCTACTTGAACCGATGTTGTCTCTATTGAAGGATGGAACACTGATATTGTGAAGTTTAAGTACAAGTAAATCGAAATCGATTGATCACGTTCAGATGACAACCAAACGAACGTCACCACCAACACAGAACAACATTGAGTGCACAAACATAAAGCTCATGAAATACGGTAAATCATATGTCGTGTGTTTTGTTCAAAAGTTTGGCGAACGAGTATGTTTAATATGAAATCCAAGTACATCTTGGCAAAATCACAGGATGCTTTCATAAATCAAACAGGTGAATTATTTTATTTAAAATGATAATACATGTATTATATTAGCTGTCTTAATAAAAAAAAATATTTCCATAACCTATATATGTGTAGCCTCTCCTCTCCCCCCCCTCTCTCTCTCTCTCTCTCTCTCTCTCTCTCTCTCTCTCTCTCTCTCTCTCTCTCTCTCTCTCTCTCTCGCAGTTAGTGTACATACACTACACACACGAAGACACTCGTGACTTATACACACAGCATAAGACGAAAGCGAGAAGACATACTATACAAATAATACAAATGATTCATGCATGACCGTGTTGCTTTTCAACTAAAATTTCAGATACTGATCATGGTGTAGACATTATAAATTATGATTTATAGATATTGAAGTACATGTTTATAGGGATAGATCTACATGTGCACACATACATAACACACACACACACACACACACACACACACACACACACACACACACACACACACACACACACACACACACACACACACACACACACACACACACACACAACCACACATACATACATACATACATACACACACGTACACATACACAGAGAGAAAGATGGGGGGGGGGGGAGAGAGAGAGAGAGAGAGAGAGAGAGAGAGAGAGAGAGAGAGAGAGAGAGAGAGAGAGAGAGAGAGAGAGAGAGACGAAGGTCTACATTTATCTAAAGCTACATGTGCGCTCACACATACACATAACACACACATAATATACACAAAACCGTACAATACAGAATCTATATATACATCCCACCCCTACCCTACCATTCTCCCTTTTCCACAGAAATAACTCATAATACGGGGTGCCCACTACTGCTGGATCGGGCTGATCGCCAGACTCGATCACCTGAAAGTGAAAACAAACCCGTTTGTTTTTGAGGCGATCGAGTCGGGCAATCGGCCGATCCCATCCATAGTGGGCTCCCCGTAAAACATTCTCATCACCCTATCGTTCACAAAATATAAGCTCATTTCATCTTGACAGGTTCAGTGGGGTCAGACTTTCCGCGTCGACCTGCAAGATAAAACAGTCCATGAAGTCCATGCACTTACCACGAAATACGTAAAGGCTGATACGAGATGTGTAGCCTCTGCGAGTTCTGAGTTCAACGTAGAAAACATATTAAGAGCATGAAAGGCTGTGTATAATGATATGTACTGTTCTATTCAACTTTTATATATAAAATACACGCGTGCGCACACACACACATACACACACACACACACACACACACACACACACACACACACACACACACACACACACACACAAATTGTATTGCTTTGGGCATACACCAATTATGACCCACCATCAAAACAGGCCATAAAGGTAATGGGAGATCATAATATCCTCTGAATATGGAAAACTCGGTGTACTTTACATGTATTTATCACAGTAAAATATGTAAACTTAGTTAACTGTTAGTTTCAGTTTGGTAAAAGTGTTACTGCGTTAAGTCGCATGAGCACGTGGGACACAAGTTAGTATTTTTCATATCAGTTCACAATTAAACAAAATTAATTTGACTTTATGTTTTGATTTTTTTCCGAACTTCAATTTTGTTTAGATGACTTGCTTGAATTCACTTTTAACAGCGTTATCAAAATGTCTTTTGATTCTTTTTAAAAAGCTATGGCTTCTGTGTCTACAGAAAAGAGGTACATTGTAAGTCTGTTTTTGAAGTCTAGAAATAAATAATGCAGTGAATATATCGTATGAGGACGAATATAAAGTGCTCATATAATTTAAACAGGTCCACACGCTGTGCATTGCAGTACATATTATTACATCAAAGAAATGAAGGAGTACAAAACTATAAGTGATGCGGCAGCAGGAAATGAGGGAGAAACTATGTATAAAGCAAACTAAGCGTACATACTGTAGGAAGTCATACTACATTCTCAGAAATATGACAATGAAACAGTAGCAGGCTACGTTTGTCTAATTCTAAAAGCTAAGAACATAATATAGCAAATAACATCAAGAGAGTCCAGTAACAATGTGACAAATACGACAGATCAAATTAAGATAGGTACCGTACTTGCATCAAAGTTAAAATTCAGCGGCACAAACAAACGCAAGCAATTGTTTACTATACAGTGACGATCCAAGAGATCATAGAAAAGGATAAAATGAAATAAAATACTGAAAACTAATCATTGTAACATCAAATCATGCTCATTAACCTGGAAAGCCTCTTTCAGTATTTCAGTTGTTTCCAGAAACTGCAAACAATTAATGAAAGTGTGGTTGGGGGACATCGTGCTACAGCTGTAAGTTGTGTAAGTGAATGAGGCCAGCGTGATGGTGTTTGAGTCATATACAAAGAGGTTATATTACTAGAGCTCGTGGCAGTGACCCCATTTACACGATCAATCTGAGCCCCCTCCCTGTCTCCACCAGCTCAAGTATATATGATGGTTGTGCCCCCACATTTCAATGTAAATTTCCTCCCAAGACCCCTAGGCATCTCCACGGGAATCTCGAAAAGTACGCACCTGTCGGTTGAACTGCGCATGTTCTTGCCCTCAACGCTCAGCGTCCAAGAGTGAGCATACGCAGCCCTTGTTCGTTTACGTTGATGACGCCTCTGACACGAGCTCTAGTACCTCATTGGCTGTACAGCATTTTACGATTGCGCGTTTTCTTTCTTAGCACAACTAAACTCAATCAAGAAATAGGACGATTGCTGGTCAGAGCTGTACACGCGATCTCATAGTACGACCTACAGTTTGCCCTTAGAAATAAACCAAATGAAATGGCGTGCAAATTTTATTTTAAAAATACAAATCTTGCTACAGGTCAGTGCTTAATTAAAGGGATACTATGCTTTGAAAAAGATTTCCTGAAGACGGGAGGCTGTGTGTAGAAAAAAGAAGGGGACTCGGAAACACGAGTTCAATCTGTGTTCACCAAAATTGATATTCAAAGAGGTGCTATATACATAACTCCACCTCCCATCCCTTTCCCCCTGATTGGCTGTGGGGTAGGAAAAGGCGTCTTATAGCTATAGAATAGGATTGTCTTAAGTACAGCAATTTGTCAAAAGATTCAACAGTAAATTATAAAGGCGGGAGAGAGGAGAAGGGAGGTATTTGAAAATAGTATAATTATGTCCTAATTCTCAAAATTTAGAGCGCCTACCCACTATTTGCAGAATTCATAAAAGTAAATTTTCAGGTCCCAGCCTAGTTTACTGCATCAAATTTTTTTATTTTTTACAAAAGTACACAAACACTTGTTATTCTGATTACTTCGCATAGAGAAAACAGATTGTGCGTTGTGCTTGTAAAAGACATAGAACTGCATGGCAAACATCCACATTTCTCCCCCAAAACAAAACACGAAAATGAGGTATATTTTGTCTGATATTGCACTGGGCAAAAAAGGTGTTGCTTGAAACCTCCTTGTCCGGTGACCCCAAACACTGCCTGTCTTCAAGCTGCAGAATTTAAAATCTCAGAAAATCTGTCCACTGTTTAGAAAATAAGTTCAAAGTAAAAAATAAAAGTGTCGTCCTTATCTTAAAAAAAAACATCCATTTGAAATGAGCCGTTGGTCTGACTTTTTAAAAAGTATTTAACATCTGCCCCC